TCTCACTTTAGCCTTAATTAACTTGAAACTCAGAATGTAGACCAGACTTGTCTCAAACTCACAGAGATCTGCCTCCTAAGTGCTGGAATTAAAGATGTGTGCTACCATGGCTGGTTGGAAATCTATAATCTTTTGTTTGTTTGTTTGTTTTTTAGTTTTTCTAAACAGGGTTTCTCTGTAGCTTTGGAGTCTGTCCCAGAATTAGCTCTGTGGATCAGGCTAGCCTTGAACTCACAGAGATCTGCTAGCCTCTACCTCCCTAGTGCTGGAATTAAAGGCATGTGCCACCACTGCCTGGTAGAAATCTATAATCTTAATGGTCACAGTGCCTACTGAGTTTTTTTCACTGTGTTACTGAAGTGCAACTTATATATAGTAAATATACAAATCTTACATGGGCTGTAAGGGTCTGTTTTCTTTTAAGGCAATCCCAGCCTTGCACTCTAGTTTCTCCCACCTCAACCTTCTTAGTACGAGGACTACAGACATGTGTATTACCACATCTGGCTAAGTTTTAATGAAAGCACAATTCCTTTAGAACAGAATTTGCTACTATAACTGAGAAAGTTCAGACTGACAAATGTATGCAACAGCAACTCCTGACAATCTACCCTCCTTCTCTGTCTTCTTCAAAAGAAAGCATTACTACCTACATAGCCCTCTTCCCCAGAAACTTGAGGATATCCTGGATGTTTGCTTCTTTTACCTCAACATCGGTTACTCTCCATTTCCTGATCTGACTTTGGACACTGCTCTCCACATGAGAGAATAAAAAACAATGTACAATTTCAGTGAGTGCTTGTAATGAGGTTATAATTTTGCCATTTGCTATGTCATTTTAAAACATGTAACAAATATCTTCCTATGCAGATATGGTAATAACAGCATAATAAAGAGTAAATCATTTACATAAAAGCAGACATATAGCTAACAATGCTGACCTTCATCACTACCTGCCTCCTTTTACCTATTCCTAAAACTTCTTCCCTAAGCTACAGGCTCCTTTCTTCCTCCCTCTCCCTTCCTCATCCCTCCTCCTATCATACCACCAGAAATTTCACAGCCTTCAGTCTTTGCTCCTTTAAGTCCTTCACTCTCTATTTAGCATCAGGGTGATCTGTGTAAAATAAAAAGTTTACTCTGTCACTTTCCCACCTTTAACTGTTTCATTTTTCAAGATAGTTTCTCTCTGCATAGCCCTGACTGTCCTGGAACTTGCTCTGTAAACCAGGCTGGCCTGGAACTCACAAAGATCCGCTTGTCTCTACCTCCCAAGTACTCAGATTAAAGGTGTGCACCACCACAGCCCAGCAAATGTCGTTTGTTTTTTATTTTGTTTTGTTTCCAAGACAGGGTATCTCTGTGTAGCCCCATCTGTCCTTGAACTTGCTCTGTAATCAGGTTGGCCTTGAACTAACAGAAATCTGCCTGCCTCTGCCTCCCCAGTACTAGGACTAAAGGTATGTGCCATCATCACCGCCACCACCACCCTCCTATACACACACACACACACACACACACACACACACACACACACACACACACACACTCTTAAATATCCTAACATCAGTTGCCAAAAGATTATCCTCCCTGCCCAAGTGACACTACTCCTTGTGATGCTGTCATTGTTAATAGCTATTGTTACACCAACAGAGTGCCTGGCATAGCTGGCATAGAATGAAAACACTATTCAGTAGAAACATTTTTTAGAGTACTACAGGAAAATTTTATGAAATTCTAAGATTAAGACTCTATAGGAAGAGCTGATATCAGCCTCTGCTGATGTAAGCCTGCCTACGAATGTCTCTAGTCTCCTTTAACACTGTTTATGTAGGAATAGGAGTAAGGAAAAAGGCTTAACATGTGTAACTGAACATGGAATAGGAAATCTAAGGCCAGTATGAGACTGGAACAAAAGACTGATGTGAAATGTTGGTATAATGCAATGGTTCTCCCTTGGGGTTCGAATATCAGTATCAGATAATTTACATTACAACTTGTAACAGTAGCAAAATTACAGTTATGAGCCGGGCGCTGGTGGCGGACACCTTTAATCCCAGCACTCGGGAGGCAGAGGCAGGTGGATCTCTATGAGCTCAAGGCCAGCCTGGTCTCCAGAGCGAGTGCCAGGATAGGCTCCAAAGCTACACAGAGAAACCCTGTCTCGAAAAACCAAAAAAAAAAAAAAAAAAAAAAAGTTACAGTTATGAAGTAGCAACACAATAACTTTATGGTTGGGGGGGAGGGTCACCACAACATGAAGCACTGTAATAAAGGGTGGCAGCATTAATAATGTTGAGAACCACTAGTGTACTGTCTGTATCAAAATGATACATGCATTCTTGTGGTAGCTATAAACAACCTACTTGAGTTAGGAAGAAAAAGAACCAGGATCTTATATAGCTGTCAAACCTCTTTAGCAAGATCAAGATGAAGAAGTGGTAAATTATGTCTCTGATCTGCATCCATCTATAATGCTATGCTATGTAAGAAAATAGCAGACAAAAACCTATGAATCAGTCTAGAGAGATGGTGCAGTGATTAAAAGCAGTGGCTGCTCTTCCCAAGGACCCAAGTTCAATTTCCAGGACCAACAGAGTGGCTCACAACCATCTGTAAGTCTAGTTCTAGATGATATGAGGCCCTCTTCTGGACTCTGCTGGCACCAGGAATACATTTCAGATATATATATATATCCATACATACAGGAAAGACATCCATACACATATAAGTAAATTAAAAAAAAAAAACTATTGAATCTGATTGCTTCTTTGAACCTGTAGCCAGATATATACTGCTATGAATTTATTTTGCAATTTAAAACTGACTATAAATTAACAAGTTTCTAAAATTAGAGCTCAAGCAACCAATAGCAAGTCCCATATGTTTAACACTTTTACCTGGGTGTTCTTTTATAATAATCCTCATATAACCAACTAGTCCATATGTCCTACAGATCAAAAGAGGGATCTGGGAATTCCAGAGGACATCTGCTAAACGAAGTAATGTACTGTAAAGGAAGGCAAAGTAAGAACATAAGCAAGTGAATACATGCAGACATGGAACTGTCTAACATAAACAGGCAAGAGTTTAGTGGAAAGCAAGCAATTTCACTTGGCTGCAATCTCCAAAGTGTTGGACTAGAAGGATATGAGACCCTAATCTGTTTTATTAGGAAGAATGCTGGTGAAAACACTAAACTTTTGTTTTGTTTTGATTTTTGCTTTTTTGAGACAGGGTTTTTCTGTGTAAGGGCTTTAACTGTCCTGGAACTCACTCTGTACACCAGGCTGGCCTCGAACCACAGAGATCTACCTGCCTCAGTCTCCTGAGCGCTGGGATTAAAGGAGTGCACCATCATGCCGAGTTCTATCTAAACATTTCTAAGATGGTGAGACATATTTATAAAACCCATGTATACACCTACAAATCTTCCTGTAATCAGTAACAATTTAACTAATTTGTTTTTAATTTTCTGGGTTTTGGTATTTCTGAAACATGGGATTTCACTATGTGGTTCAAGCTAGCCCGAAACTTACTGTGTAGGCCAGGCTGGCCTCAAACTCAAAATCTGAGTGCTGAGTTTACAGGCATATAGCCCCATACTTGGCTTCTAATTAATATTTCATCATTTATCAATATCTAATGTTCACTTAACGTGCTCTAAATATATCCAATTATCTCATTTTTTTCTTACTATCCTTTCAAAGCTAGCATACAAGAACGTCACATTTAATGTTTCTTTAAGAATTTTAGAAACCAGATAAAATATGTATACAGAAAAACGTACATAGGGAAAACTATGCAAATAAAGCAAGACTAAGAAAGATATTAACATCTAAAATTTACCTTTCAAGAAGCTGAGTTGCAACCACAACAGTAAACCTACAGAAAAATGAAGGATCATTGTCTAGAAGGTTTTCTGGACTCTAAATAAGACAAGGGGAGGAAAAATTCAACAATTTCACATATTAAACATGGCAGGCAGAAGCAGTTAAGCTATGTTAAAATAAATGTGTTGACAAATTAAATTCCAACTAAATATAAGTGATACAATGATTCAAAACTCTAAGTTCTAGGACTTTGAATTATTTTTAAAAACATACTGCATTATAGGAAAAACAATGTGTATATATATATATATATATATATATATATAAATATATATGTATTATACCTCTTCCACAAAACTTCCAGAGACATCGCTATTTAGTTCTTGTAAGAATTCCATGGCAGCTTGAGCTCGGTTCTTTCAAAAACAAAGCATTTGACTTGAATTAGAAAGTACTTAGCCACAATATGATCCACAAGCTTACAGATCAAGAAAAACTGAAAATTTCTAAATTCCATACATAGATGTGACAATTCTACTCCTCAGTATTTAACTGAGGCTCAAGTAGAATGTTACAGGGTTGAACCAGATTTTCACCTCCAGAGTTCTTAAATGACCACATTATTTGCTCTCACTTTTCTGACCAGGTAAATGACAAAAATAGGTGGTAGGCAGGGTTATACTAGATCAAGTTCAGCCCCACTCTAACCACCATGTCTATAATGCCATCAAAGAGCGTCCAACCATTAAATAAGCGCAACTTTATTCAGAATATGAACATGGATTTCTTTTTCCTTTTTTGGTTTCTTTTTTTTTTTTCCGAGACAGCGTTTCTCTGTGGCTTTTGAGGCTGTCCTGGAACTAGCTCCTGTAGACCAAGCTGGACCTGAACTCACAGAGATCCGCCTGCCTCTGACGCCCCAAGTGCTGGGATTAAAGGCGTGCGCCACCACCGCCTGGCTGAACATGAATTTCTAAGGTTTTCTTTTAAAGTACAAAAATAAAGAATTTTCTACAAGGTCCACTTACTAATTTCTTAACCATAATACTCCATCCACTGAACATCAATGTTACTCAGGACTTTATTAAAGGACAGGGTAAAAGCACAGGCAGTACTCTAAAATTCTTCAACTACCAACAGAGATTTGCCAGATTAGAAAATGAGTTAACCCAACTTTTCACTCAGAGAACAAGGTCTTTTAAAGTCAGAACTTTTCTAGCAGCCAAGATATAGTGCATTATTAGATGCTTACAAACAACCATACTTCATAGCAATGATTGCTTACCTTGCCAATACTGCTTTTTTGAAGGAAAAAGCTAAAGGGGATAGAAAAAAAAGTCAAGATGTATATGGCTGTAAAGCAAAAGTTGTTTGCCATTTATAAGAGTGTATCACATTCAAATATCAACCAATTGTGTGTGTGTGTGTGTGTGTGTGTGTGTGTTTTACTGTTCTTTACCATTGAGCTATGCCCCAACCCACAAACACTATTTTCATAAAAGACTATAACAGTCTTTTTGAAGGAAGAAAAGTGGACAGGCTAGTAAACCAGTGTTCCCCAAGACACATTTCATAAGATGCTCTAAGAGAAAAGAGTTCCAAGAATGAAAAAAGAGGAAACACCATATGTTATACCGCCTTCTTAGAAAGTCATAATGTACCCGATAATAAGTTGAATAGTAAAGTTTAACCTCCTTTGAACCACTCCACAAACTCATCTGACCATGAAATCCACTGTCCCATTTAAGAGCTATTAACATTTCCTATAACCAACGTTCTGCAGACACTTGGGAAATGCTGTAGTGAACTGTTTGTTTTTGCAGGAAATTACAAAAGATTCATTCAGGCTTCCTCCCACACATATGTTGGCCACATCCCATAGGTCTAAATTGAGGCTACTGATGAGAATCTAGGCACAATTTTGTGGCAAAGGCACATGGTTCCATAAGAAAAAGAAACCTTGGGCTGGAGACATGGCTCAGTGGTTAAGAGCACTGTTTGCTCTTCCAGAGGACCTGAGTTCAATTCCCAACAACCACATGGTGTCTCACAACTATCTCTAATGGGTTCTTCTGGCATAAAGTCACACATGCAGATATAGCACTCATACATAAAATAAATAAATCTTTAAAAAAGGAAAAAAAAGAAAAAGAAACCTTATATATTCAGCACATCCTGCATAATCAAAAAGATAAGCAAAAATAACATACTTTTTTTTTTTTTTTTTTTTTTTTTTGGTTTTTCAAGACAAGGTTTCTCTGTGTAGCTTTGGAGCCTATCCTGGCACTGGCTCTGGAGACCAGGCTGGCCTCAAACTCACAGAGATCCACCTGCCTCTGCCTCCCAAGTGCTGGGAATAAAGGCGTGCGCCACCAACACCCAGCAATAACATAACTTTTATTATTTTACAGATACCAATAAAAGAGTTGTGTTGTGGATAGCAGAAACATACTATGACCCAAAGAAAAAGTATCAAACTAATATGAACTAAATTCTGTTTTTCCTTGAATCAATGTTTACTTGTTATTTAGGGACAAATATGATGAGAGACTCCCAGGCTCTAAACCCTGAGGAGAATAAATATATGAAATCAAATTGGGAAGTGTTCTTAAGATCCAAATATGACTATCTCTAAAAAAAAAAAAACATAGATCACCTATAAAGAATCATTTTTATATAACAAGGCACAATGAGAAATAATCTTTCAAACCAGACTAAGTTTAAAAGATAAAAAAGAACAAGACATACTTGTTTCCAGCATCTTCTCCGCTGACCTGCTTTCCATCAATAATTGTAAATGATCCAATACCTGGGGAGACAAAAGACAGCGGAAACTGTGTTTTGATTTGGAGTTTTGTTTTGTTTTTACCTTTATCGATTTGAACATCAGTGTGCTTGTGCCATTGCACACATGTAGAGGTGAGAGGTCAACCCATGGGAGTTGGTTCTCTCCTTCCACAATATGGGCTCCAGGGATCAAACTCAAATTGTCAAGCGTGACAGTAAGTGAGTACCACTAAGCCATCCTGTCAGCCCAAGTATATGTACTTTTTATGAGAACCTTAAGTTATTTAGAAAGCAATCACCAATATTACATTACCTGGCAATACCAAGTTTTTAAGAATTTCAGTTCCTGTAGCCGTTGCATTTATTAGGCAAACATGAGCAGATTCCAAAGCTTCTTGCCCATGATCACCCCACAACCTACAAAACAAAACATAAATTGAACATTAAAAAGTTCTCAAAAATATGACTTTCTTATTTGATGATGACATTTAAAGTATTCTTCCATAAAATAACATATAGCATACCATAGCAAATATGTGAGATATGAACTGATATTGTGAGGGTTATCAAAACTTTGATAAATCATCCTTTGTATGTTATATATATAACTAGTACTATTAAGCTGTCTTTCTAGTGTTTGTTTTACTCCTTTGAAACCAGGTAATTTATAGAACAGAAAGCCCAGGGATACACTCATCAACAATAAAGAAAGGTGTTAGCCAAGTAAGGCAATGTGCATCTGTTGTCTCAGCTTTTCAGAAAGCTGAAGCAGAAAATTACATAATGTTCAATTGAAATATAAATAAAATCTATTAAATAGATACAAAAATAGCCAACGAATATTCTAGCATGATTAAAAGATGCATACATTAACAAACATGGAGGTATATAGGAGGTATAATAAGAATTAGAAATACATTTTATAACCTGATTGATTAACAAGTTCATGATCACACACATACCATGGTTTTTGGGGCCAATCTGGTCACCTTTAATCCCTGACTCCTTGACATACATACACACACACCCCCCCCCAAAAAAAAAAAAAAAAACAACCAAAAAAAAATCTACTATTTTCTCTTCAGAACAGAAAATATGGGGAAGCCCAAATTATTTGCAAATGCCATTTCCAGACAAGTACTATTAGATGCCCAGAGGACTAAGAAAAGACTCTAACATTCCTTGTCACCAAAATAAAGCCTATCCCAACAAACTGCACCATTTGAGTTTTCATTTACTGAGCATCTATCTCTTCACTTTAAAAGGTCCCAGACCATGCTGCTGACACAGGGCTTTGCCTAGAAGAGCTGATCACTGAATAGCTGTCAAATGGGGGAATAGTTTGGGAAAACTACATAGACCAGAAACTGACCTTTTCTTTTCTGTGGAAATGGGGCACATGGTCTTATCTTGCTGGCCTGAGAGTGAGGCCTTGATCAATGGATGCTACTTGCCCATCCAACTTCATTTCTCTTTCCTTCTGACCCTTCTAAAGTCATAAACAGTTCTCATTATGCTGGATAAAATTTAGTACTTTAAGGAATGGACTCACTCAAAATCCTCTTCCGGTACCTAGTAACCTTAAATATCCTTCTCAATTTTGTTGCCTATGATTTATGGTTTTATGTATACCCAAAAAACAAAAACTACAAGAGTATATGAGAACTCATAGTTGTTATAGTTGTGTTGGCTTCTTTCTCTGACTAGAAGCTTGGGAGAAAGGATGAGTATGAAAAAGCTAAATGGACCCAAGTTGAAAACATGCATAAATCTGGGCCAGTTACCTAACTTTTACAAGTCTTAGTTTCCCTGTTTGTATCAAAGAGTGTCTGCCTTCAAGGACAGTCTCAGAACTAAGAGTCTACATCCCTGATGAAGTACTAACTAGGCTGTCAGTACAAAGGGAAATTCCCACCTTTAGGGACACAGTATATCATGGGAGCTCCTGAGAGGAGAGGTGGTAGCAAGCACTTTTATAACTTCCTCTGACTCAACACACAGAAGGTAATAAGTAAGAAATGATGAAGAAAAAAAGAATAGAAAGAAAAACAAGGATGGGGTAGTAGTTGAGGGATATGCCCTGTCCATTAAGGTTATTTACAATGGCTACTGAGTCCTAGAAATGCAGCTAGCATGAAGACATTCTTTATGTGTGAAATACCTGCTTTATTAGACAGAGTGAACAAAAAAATAGCCGAGTAACTTTTTCACAATGATTCCATGTTGAAATGGTAATATTCTGGACATACAAAAAAAAAAAAAAAAAAAAAAAAAAAAAAAAAAAGAAAAAAAAGGGGGGGGGGGGGGGGGGGGGGGGGGGGGGGGGGGGGTGTAGCTCAGTTTGGCAGCTTGTCAACCATGCTTGATGCCCAGAGTTCCACTCTCGGCACCTAATAAAATGGATGTGGTGGTCCACACCGGTAATCTCAGCTGTTGGGACAGAGGCAGGAGGATTGTTGCAAGTTTGAGCCCAGCCAGGTCTACGTAGCAGGTTCCAGGACACTCCAGGGTGAAAGAAAGAGAGGAGGAAGAGCAAAAACGTGTTTTTAAACCTGGCCTGGCAGAGAATATCTGCAATCTAAGCACTTGAGAGACAGATGATTGAGTTCAAGGCCAGCCTGGGCTGCGTAAGACCGTTCCTCAAAATAAAGGAGGGTAGGAGGCAGCAGTAGCAAAAATTACTTCCCTGTGTCTTTTTACTCTCCCCATCCCCAAATTCTTCCTATGTAGCCCAGGCTGACTCCCAATTTCTGATCCACCTGCCTCTGCCTCTCAAGTGCTGGGATTACCAACGAGCGCCCGCCACCACGTCCGGCTTCTTTTAACTTATTTCAAAGGTGCCTACTGTAAAAATTACAATTGCGAACACAGATGGCTCACATGAAACTAGAATTATGCATTGCTATTGGACAGAGCTGGCGTGGAACAGTATCAGTTCCTCGGTGCTGCACAATGCGGTCGGGATGGGATACTCCCGATCCTCTTGCTCCGTGAACGCAGGGGGACGGCCGCGACCGTGCAGACCAGGTTCGAAGAGACACAGCGCACCTCCAACCGCACACAGCCTGGCGCGGCCCTGCGGGAAGGGGCGTCCCGGCCTTCTCCGAGCACTCTGGCCAGTGGCCAGAGCCCAGAGCGCCGGCTCCCCACGCCCCACACCGCCGCGCGCCGCGTCAGGCCTGAGGAAGGCCCGCCCACGCCGCCGAGGCACTTGGGCCCCGCAGGCCTCCGGAGAGCCCGCAAATCCGCCGGCTTGCTCATTGGGAAGCCGTGGCTCACCTCAGCTGCCGGTCGTACTTCTGTTCCTTGAGTAGTTTCCCGTGCTGCGCCATTGCCGCCCCAGTCCAGCGTACAGCAAAGCCGAGGTAGTAGGCCGCCACCCACTCACTTGTGCGCAGGCGCACTAGGCGCCTTGAGCGACCATCGCCTTCAGCGCGCCGCCAGTAGGGGGCGCCGCCGCCGCACTGCGCACGCGTCACGGGGAAGTTGGACAAACCAGAGGCTGGGTGCAGAGTAGTTTTTCTGTACCCGCAGTAATTGTGGAGAGCTCCATTCTTTAAATCAAGCCGACTTGGATTTTAATCGCTTACTAATTGTAAAAATGGCTCTTTTCCATTCAAACCTTCAGTTTGTTCACCAGTGAAATAGAAATGCATGGTTCTCCCATTTTTGTTTTTTTGTTTTTTCTTTTTTAAAGATTTTATTTATTTATTATGCATACAACATTCTGCTTCCATGTATGTCTGCACACCAGAAGAGGGCACCAGATCTCATAACGGATGGTTGTGAGCCACCATATGGTTGCTGGGAATTGAACTCAGGACCTCTGGAAGGGCAGTCGGTGCTCTTAACCATCTCTCCAGCCCCCCATTTTTGTTTTTGTTTTTCGAGACAGAGTTTCTCTGTGGCTGTGAAGGCTGTCCTGGAACTACCTCTTGTAGACCAGGCTGGTCTCGAACTCACAGAGCTCCGCCTGCCTCTGCCTCCTGAGTGCTGGGATAAAGGTGTGTGCCACCAATGCCCGGCTTTGGGTCTCCCATTTTTAAAATGAGATTTTGTAGCACTTGGGAGGTAGAGGCAGGTGGATCTGATCTCTGTGAGTTCGAGGCCACCCTGGACTACAGCGCGTGTTCAAACATGGAGAAACCCTGGGGGGGAGAGAGAGGGGAAGGAGGGAGGAGAGAGAGACAGAGACAGAGACAGAGAGAGAGACAGAGACAGAGACAGAGACAGAGACAGAGACAGAGAGAGGAGCTCCCTTGGTAACAAATGAGAAGAGGATTGGGAAGGCTGAGAGGCAGCTGGGGCTGGCTATGAAGACCATGATCAAGGAGAAATTTAAGACTGCAATTGCCTTGTGATACAGGATGACTGTCCTGTGGTGGCCAATGCTAAGAAAGGAATTTATAAGCAAGTTGAAGACAGGAGGAAGCAAGAGGCTTGCTGACAAGTAGGAAAGGAAGTAAGGATTCCCTTCCTCTGTATCCCAATCTCTACAGGGGTCTCCAGGTTAATGATTGCTAGATTACCCCCTCACCCTGAGATTATTATCCTAGCACGTAATGAGTGTGTATCTTCACACACATATTCCCACCAGTCGTGGGTGGTTGAGGGCACAGAAGAGGTCGGTCAGCTTGACAGTAATATTGCAGTGCTGATAAATTCACTTCCCCTGGGCACAGTGTCAGGACTGAGGTAAGGGCACACCCTGCCATGACTTCCCTCCCAGCCCCTATGGAACCCAACTGATGGGAGAAAAAGGCATGAGGCTTTCCCAGCTCAGTATGTGCCTCTGTTGTCCCATTTCCTTCTCCAGTTACACAGGTGAAGCATGAGAGATAATAAAATACACCCAGGGAATGTGAGAAGGTCAAAAGTGACCGGTGAAAGTTCACTCCATAGCCTCTGGCGCACAATGGCACCAGGAAATGAAAGATCAACAAACATGACTGGAAATGAACTGGGTCGGGGTGGGGGGGGGTTACTTCAAGAAGGATTGAGTTGTTGGTGTCTGTAAAGAGATACCTCAGAGCATGCATTTCTTACAGTTTTTTATATTTACTTATTTATGGGGGTGTGTGCAAGAATGTCATGAGGCACCTATGGTGGACAGATGACAACTTGCAGAGGTCACTTCTCTTCTTCCATGCAGGTTCCAGGGAAAACCCAAGTCCTCCAGTTTGGCAGGAGCCTCTTCCTCCTGAGTCATCTTGCCACCTCTCTCCTTTAAAAAAAAAAAAAGTATTCTTAAATGCATATATGTGTGTGTATTCACATGTGAGTGCATTACTGACATAAGCGCCAGAAATATGGGATTCCCCTGGAGTTGGAGTTACATGTGGTTGTGAGCCATCCAGTGTGGGTGCTGGGAACTGAATACTTGGGTCCTCTGCAGAGCAACACACACTCGTAGCTGCTGAGCCTTCTCTCCAGCCCTTGAGATTTGCTAACTTTAAAGAAATTGGTGAAAAGGAAAGGAAAGAACTCAGGAAGTGGTCAGTCACTTTAGTCACTGAAATGAAAAGATTGAAACAGAGGGCCTTTCCAAAAGCAAGCTGTATGCCACAGGGAGGGATTGAAACATTTGCATGGAGCTTTCACAATGTGGAGGTGATAAAAAGCTTTTAATTCCTTTTTGTAAATAAAAGTTTTATGGTGTTTGACAGAAAAGACTTAACATTTAATGTTTTTTACGTGCACAACCTGCTTTACACACAGAGAAGGGGTTTGGAATGGGAGAGAGAAATAGCCCAACTTAAGAATTAGAAACAGGGCCGGGCATTGATGGCACATGCCTTTAATCCTAGCACTAGGGAGGCAGAGGCAGGTGAATCTCTGTGAGTTCAAGGCCAGCCTGGTCTCCAGAATGAGTTCCAGGACAGAGCAATACATAGAAACCCTGTCTCGAAAAACAAACAAACAAACAAAAAAACAAAAAAAAGAAAGAAAGAAAATTAAAAACAAATACTCTGACATTTCTGGCCGGACCAATTCAAGTCTGTTATTTCACCCATCCTTGTTGATCTCTACCTAGAGGGTCTAGAGGTTTAGGAGAAATTGAAGACAGCCTATGAGAGACTAGCCAAGAAAGAAAAAAGTAGCATATCTTGTGGCACTTGACCACTAGCCCTCCCTGTCTGCTCTTCACCAGATGCTCATTGTCTGATTCTTGCCTCTCTCCCTAACCTCATAAGCAGCCTGAAGCAACTGTGGGTCTATAATGTTCACAGTTGTATCCCTCGTAACTGGCCCCCCACTTAACATTTGCAAAGTATTTGATAAATGCTTGCTGAATGAAAGGATAAAGAAAAAGTGTGTGTGTGTGTGTGTGTGTGTGTGTGTGTGTGTGTGTGTGTGTGTGTGTGCTTTTATATATGTGACTGAGCCTGAGTGAGTTTATGTGTACCACATGAATTCAGGAACTGCTAGAATCCAGAAGAGGGCATCAGATCCCCTGCAACTGCAGTTACAGAAGCTTGTGAGCCCCTGTGTGGGTGCTAGAAATCGAACCTGGATCCTCTTGGAAGAGCAGCCAGTGCTCTCAACCACTTAAGCATCTTTCCAGATCCCACTATATTTTTCTACACTTTATATTACTTGGGAGTTAGATGTGGTATTGCATGCCTTTAATCCAAGCACCTGGGAGGCAGAGGTAAGCAGATCTTTGTGAGTTCAAGACCAGTCTGGTCTATATAACAAGTGCCAGGCGAGCCAGGGCTACGCAGTGAGACTTTGTCATACAAATCATAAAATATGGGTTTTAGCAAGATTACTTACCGAGTAAAGACACTTAGTACTGAACTTGACAGCTTGAATTTGATAACCAGGACCCACGTTGTAGAAAAAAAGAACTGAGTCCTGAAAGTTGTCTTCTGACCTACATATGCTATGGCATCTGGACACATACACATACAGACACATGTGCCTGCACACAGACACAAACACAAGAAAACCAAAATAAATAAATACACATAAAATACTTTTGTTGGCAGGATGGTTCAGCAGGTGAAAGTGCTTTCCAAGCCTTGTGGCCTGAGCTGGATCCCCAGAACTAACAGTGGAAGGAGAAAACTGACTCTCAAAAGTTGTCCTTTGACCTCCACATACATGCCATGACACCTGCCCAAAAGCATTCTCACTCACATGGCACATACAAAACAATAAATCATTTAAAATGATAATTGGCAATGTGCCTATCATTTAATCTGGTAATTTTCTTTCTGAACATTTATCCTAAGGAACTCAACACACACACACACACACACACACACACACACACACACAAAGATGGATATATAAGGATGTTCAGTGGAATGTTATTTACAGTATTGAAAACCGGAAGGTATACCAGAGCAATGTATGAAGAGTCAGTGTGAACTTCTCCAAGGCTAATCAAGCAGGAACATGCTTACTTAGGGCATTAAGTGAAAAGGCTGGTGACATGGCTATATACATACTTCTTTTTAAAGATCTTATTTATTTATTATGTATACAATATTCTGCTTCCATTCTGGACACTAGAAAAGAGCACCAGATCTCATAACGGATGGTTGTGAGCCACCATGTGGTTGCTGGGAATTGAACTCAGGACCTCTGGAAGAGCAGTCAGTGCTCTTAACCTCTGAGCCATTACCCCAGCCCTCTGAATAATTCTTGATTGCTTATGCATAGTAGAAAAGCCTTGCCTGAGAGTCACTAAAATATTAGCAGTGGTGATGCTTTTGGAGTGATAGCACAGTAATTTAAATTTTCTTATTTTTTTATGTGTGTTTTCCTGATTCTAACAAAGTTTCTCTAGTAGAAATATATCTCTATAATTTGAAAAGAAACATTTGGGGTTTTAAATTCTCCAACAAACTATGCAAAAGGGGAAAAGGTAGAAATCCTAGGAACAGAGAACTGCATCTGTGGTGCCAGTAGTCAGTTACTATCTCATATGACCTTGTGGCCTGCTAGGCTCTCTATTCCTATCTTATAGATTAATAAATAAATAAAATGTAAATTCAGACTAAAAAAATTAAACTATTCGTTGTTGATCCTGGGAGCATAGAGATAAGAACAGCATCTTTGTGATCTACCTGTATCTACAATCCAAGCCCATTCCCAATACTTTACACTATATATATATACATATGTATGTATGTATGTATGTATGTATATGTATATTTATGTATACACACACACATAGACTCACACTTGAAGTGGGACCATATGTAGTGTGTGTGTGTGTGTGTGTGTGTGTGTGTGTGTGTGTTTGTGTGTGTGTGTGTTGTTATGGATCGAATCCAAGAAATTCTTTTTAATACTAAAAATAAAGACTCTAGCTTGGCCCACAAGCCCTAAATATATAACAAGGAGTGAGATGGAGGCATTATTCTGCCTCTTGGTGCAGCATTGGGCATCTGTTGTTTCAATGTATGTCCACAGAGATC